AGGAAAAATGAGACTAAATTCTTACATTCTGTCATTATTAAAATAACTGAAAAAAGAGAAAAAACATTGCCAATTTTCTACAAAGGAATGGAATAAATCACAGTACATTTCCACAGCTTGTACACTGTAGTTTTTTGTTGAATGAGCTTTTCAATAAAACTCTAAAATTAACTTGAGGAAGAAAAACTAATTAACAACTTCATTGAAAATAAATTTGGTATCTCAAGTAAATGTCAGTGTCTGAATTTTGATAACACGTTTGACTTAGCGTAATAAGCCTTCCTCTCAAAATTTATTCAAATGAGCATCCTCATAGAAATTTTCAAGTACTCTGAATGTGTAAAAGGACACAAAGTGACATAATCTTAAAATAATGAAATTAACATAGAGTGGAGGATTAAAAACTGTGGGACAAAATATATTTTTTTTTTTGTTTCTTATGCATACAGTGGGATGCAATGAGAAGTGTGATAATAATTTCCATCCAGGATTTAGAAAATAGTGTAAGTAATTGAATTGGCAGCAGTGATGCCTGAGTGGGCGGAAATACCTCCGAATGCTCCGAAAGCAGTTTGAATTTCAAAACAGCTCATTAGGTCGCCATCGATCTCTGGAGTAGCTAAGCCTTAGCCTGTCTGCACCGGGAGGATCCGCGTCGCACTGTTGTAGCATCTTTTGGCTCTGACATCTGTCAACCGCAGGTTCGAGGTTCCTGAGGAGTTTCGGTAGGTGAGGCCTCGTGCAGCTTAAAGCATCCCCCAAGGCGTGCCTTCCCAGGGAACACTTCACCTGAAACTGCTTCGGAGCTGATGCTGAACGTCCTTCAGGTAGCGATGCCAACAAGGGATGCCCTCCAAAGACCTTCATTTCTGTTGTGAGAACTCTCACGGAATTGTCAAGCGGCGGAGACCAGGAGGGGGGTACAAAGCCAAAACCAAGCAGGACCACGCTCTTTGGGTGTTCGGAGAAGCACAGCAAAACTTCAGAAAGCGGAGGCGGACAGGTGCGTGAAGCTTCAGTTCAGGTATCCATCTCGCCGGGGAGGATGGGCGAGAGGCAGAGGCAATTAAGAAAAGTGATGCGGTGGGAGCGAGGGTAAGGATAGGGCGCTATAGGGTGCGAACTGCAAAAAGAGAGCGGAAACGTCACCGAAAGGACACTCGGGGGATGGGGGGCGGGGGGGGCTGTACAAAAACTGGGGGGAAGGACAGGGAAAAAGCAGCAGGGGCAGGAAGGCGGGGAGGGAAGTGGCACGGAAATGCGGCGGCAGCGGGACGTCGCGGGGGGGGGCGGAGGGGACGACACCACGGGAGAAAAGGCGCCGACGTGGAAAAGGCGACAAAGGAAAGCAACAAAAGCGTGACAACGCCAGCGCGGACCCCTCCGCGCTCGCCCACGCGCTTACGCCCCCCACAGAACGCGCGTGCCCCCACGCACTCATTCATACACC